AAATATTAATTGTCAGATGTCAATTAATATCTTCAATTTCCTGATAACTCAGTGGTTTTCTATGAAATTATTATAATATTCTTGCTCAATCACCCACTCTCATAGAAGTTTTTCTCATTAAAAACATAAAATAATAAAACTTCAAGGCAATATCTTCCTTCATGTTATCATATTTTAAATTAAAATATTGCAGAAATAAAGCACCAAATTAATGAAACTGAAAATATTTCCCTCCATCTTACTGGGTCACTGTGCACCTATTATGCTTGCTCAAGAAAGTTTTGCTTTTCATGTATTAATGCCTCTGAAGAATGTAGGCTAAGTATAATATGTTCCAAAGATATGGTAAAACAGAGAGTGTAGGCATCTTAAGGCCTCAGTCGAAGACTTCTACCTGTTTCATCTTCTAGACTTAGCAAAATGTATCGCAAGAGAAGGTATTTAATACTTATTTGTTGGATGGAAATGTGAACGGACAAATAAGTGACTGAGAAGAACATCTAATGTAGACAGGCTACCAATAGGCAACAACTAACAAGAAAGAATGCCAACCCAGTCTACAGCTGTAAGCCCCAATCTCCACAGGCTGGGAATCTGAGCAGGTGACAAGGTCCTCACGTACACTGTTTCCTTAAAATTAAAACAGAGGTAATAAAGATAGCATCACAGATCCAGCCACACTCTGACAAGAACTTACTTAGAATCCCTGGTGGACACTTAGATTGTTTAGGCCTCTGTTCCTTTTCTAGAAAATAATGTTTGGACTAGATGATATGGATATCTGCTCTATCTAGCTAAGGGTCTTTAATTATAGAATAGCTACAGTGATAATTGATAAAAAATGCTTTGAAAAAAAGTTAAAAGTGTTATACATATGTACAACATAGGTGGAAAAGGCCAATGAGTAAAAGAAACATCTGGTCAAAAGATTCTAAAATTATCCATCATTCTTCTGAACTATTCATGCCTTTTTAGGATTCCATTTCTTTGGTACTGCCTATCATTTGCGTACCGTATCAAAAGCATTCTTATAGAATACACTGTAATACTGGTCACCAACCTCAAAAAGTCACTTTCTATATTTGTAGCTAATAGATATATATCAAAGAGCCCCATGTCATTAAAGATAAATTAAGTATGTTATCTTTTGGTCTACAGTTTTTCGTGGTTTATTAATGGCATAACACATCAATTCTTCTTTCAGGAGTGACCTTTACAGCACCATTAATCCTCACAGCTTTTATCCAACTACATTATTACTCATTATAGTTTCAGCTTTCAACGTATGCACTTGTTGAAAAGAGAAAACTAAACTGTAGTGGCCTCAAATCTTTGAAAAATATGAGAGATTTGTATGTGGCGAAAGAACTTTTTGAGGGAAAATATAAGAGACATTTTAGTAGTGGAATAGGTCAGATGATAAATATCATTAAATACACTCTTGTCTTTCTAAAATACTTTCTGTCACACTTAATCCTTTATAATACTAAAGTAAACAAAGTCCATGTGATAAAAATGCTAATACATTAGTTATTCTGTTAAATACTCTAGTTTTAAAAACATTAAAAAAGTAGCACATATACCAACACTGAGACATTTATGTGTCTTCATGTATATTAAGGAAGTGAATCATTCTTGCAAATAAAACATTTTTTTCCTTTTCCATACTTAAGACTTGAAAGCAAATCATATCTTGGTGCCCAGTCAGGATGCTGAACAGAGTAACTGAGTGTTAGTTCATAACAGAATGATACACAATGAAAAAGAAACGCACGTGTATAATAAAGCTTTTTCAAACTTCTCAAAATTTCAGTTTTCACTCTTTCTCTTCTCACTGCTTTGCACTACCCTAGACTGACTTCCTTTCAGCAAATAATCTTGAAGCCCACCTTTGTGGAGATGGAAATATTTAAAGTACACCCCTTTAGCTTTTATTCTGTCCATCCTATAATTTCTCTGTAACTCTACTTTTTTTCCTCTTCATTTCATTCATTCTCAGAAAATGAAGAGAATTTTCTCCTTTCCAAGTATAATCCTTTCATCATCTTTTTGCTCCATTGTCACTCTTGTACTCTTTCATGTCTATACATCTCTCTAACTCCTCTTCCTCTTCCTTCTTGATTTATAAGTACACATAAGATTTTCTCATTTTAAAAGTTATCTCCACTCTGTGTTATAAAATATAATCACCTTTCAACAGCAAACTTACAAAAATACAGGTCTGTATCATCAACTGTACTTCCTTTCCTCATAGTCTTCATATCTTTCTTTGTAATTGGTATTCTGCCTTACCCATTCTACTAAAACTTCTCTGCCAGAGCCTACATGTCCATAATCTCTAGTTACATCCTAAGACTTTTCCTCCTTTCTAGTGTTCTTTAACTTGCCCGCACAGTGCAACACAGTTAAGTAACCCCTCCCTTTAGAAACTTTCATTTTTCCTAGGCTAGCATGACATTGCACTATCTTCATTTATATTCTCAAAACACTCAATTATTACTAACTCCTCTTCAGTTTTCACCTAAAAGAGTATAGTACTTCAAAAATATTTCCACAGATATTTTGCTATCCCTCTGTTCACGAGTTGGAGCCTAATTCCTTTCCCATGGATTAGGGTTGGACTTAATGACTCTCTTATAATGAAACCCTGGTGGCACAGTGGTTAAGAGATCAGCTACTAACCCAAAGGTCAGCCATTCGAATCCACCAGCCACTCCTTGGAAACCCTATGGGGCAGTTCTACTCTGTCCTATAGGGTCACTATGAGTTGGAATCGATTTGATGGCAATGGGTTTGGTTTAGGTTTATAATGAATAGAATATAAAAGAACTGATGGTGTGTTACTTTGGAGACCAGATCATAAAAGGTAGTGTTGTTTTCCCTTTGCTTTCATCTTTATATCGTTCAGTCTGGGGAAGGCTAGTTGCCATGCTATGAGCAGCTCTATGGAGAGACCTACCTGGCAAGGAACTGAAGTCTACTGGACAAGACCAGTAAGAAACTGAGGACTCCAGTCACTAGCCATGTGTGTAAATTATTTTGGAAACAGATATTCAACCCCCAGTAAAGCCTACAGATGACTGTAACCCTGAGCACATCTTGACAGTAATCATGTGAGATGCCCTAAACCAGAACCACCCAGCTTTGCTCCTAGATCCTGACCCGCAGAAATTATGAGATAATACATGTTTGTTGTATAAAGCTCTAAAGTTTGGGTCACTTGCTTATGCAGTAATAGATAACTAATACAGTAGGTAATACCTATGATTCTTTACCCCACTTCTCTTCTTACCAGCCACAGTCTTTTTTGGTGAACTCACTTGCTCTCATGGCTTCTACAGACTCATTAATGAACAAATTCCTTTCTAAAATTCTAGCACTCCTTTTATATATCAGACTTACATTTACAATTTCCTTCTGAACATTTCCACCTAAATGGCTCCTTGTGCTTCAAATTCAACACATATTCAATTTTCATATCTTCCTCCAAACCTGTTCCCATTCTGGTCTTCCCTTTCACAGTTAACAGAAGTACAATTCTACATATTTCATAAATTCAAAATCCTGGACTCCCATGTCTCCAATTTGTTTCTTATCCTGTACATTCAATTATGAATAAGTTATGTCAATTCTTCTTTAATAACATCTCTTCGATCTGTTGTCTCCTTTCCTTTCTTATTATTGTTTTCTTTCGTGTGTATCTTACTCTTGCCCTACACTAAAACAATGCGTTCCCTGCTGCCAACTCTTCTTAAAGTTCTGATCACCTTACTGCCTAGAGAAAAAGTCAAAATTCCTGATGATGGCATTCAAGGCTCTCCATAATTGAGTGCCATCTATCTCTTGAAATTTTAGCTTCCATCACTTCCCATCACACACTCATTCTGTACTCTAGCCAAATCAGCACATTTCTAAAAAATATGCTGCTATTTCCCTCTATATGTATTTTTTCTTCCAGCCTAAAATGCCTAAAAATGCATCTCCTCTGCAAGGCTCAGTTAGAATTAGGCTATCTCCAACATAGCCCTCCTTTATCCTTCCCAAACAGAATTCAATGGGATTGCATCTGTGTTCCAGAATTACACTAACAATAACTGATTTATACTATAGGTAGATGGACTTTCCCCAACGAGTCTATGAGCCCCTTGATGACTGGTCTCCTCATAATTGTATGCATAGCACAGTGTCTTACAAATAGTAAACATATCAATAAACGTAAGGTGAAGTAAATAAGTATTTTACAGTCTAATTTATGTGTTACTAAAATAAATATCATTGAATTTTTTTTAAAGGTAGAGCCGTGATGGCACAGTGGTTAAGCGTTTGGCTGCTAACCAAAAGGTCAGCAGTTAGAATCCACCAGCCACTCCTTGGAAACCCTATGGGGGAGTTCTACTCTGTTCTATACGGTTGCTATGAGTTGTAATCACGGCAATGTTTTTTTTAAAAGTCAGCTTACAGAAACATTTTCCAGTGTTTGTTTATTCTACTGAAATGACAATAACGCAGAATTGTAGTCCACTACTTTTTATAATCCTTTGATATGTTCTAGTCTATCCTAACCAGAATGGAAATGAACAAACTTCACATTCTAATAGCTGCCTGCTGACCCAGGCAAAATGTATTTTATCATCATGTACACTTCGTATGCACCACAAAAATGGAGATAAATTCAGTGATGGAAAAGGCAAGTCATCTAACAACATTCTGGAATCATTACTCACTGTGATTAGTCATTTAGACTTCATTCTTATATATTGATGGACATCAGCTACATAGATAAACATAACCAATACAATTAGATTTTCAGGGGGACACTCTAGCTTGGACTTCAGTTTGAAATAGCCTTTGTATTTTAAAAACAGGTGTATGAGGTTCATTAAATTGAAACTCATGACACCTAAGCCATGCACAGGGTATGAGTGATTTTTCATTTAAAGATGATTTCATTCAATTGCCATAAACAGAAAATCAGCAAGAACAAAAGAAACAGAACTTACCTATTGTGCTAACTCTGGATGAAGGACTAGCTAACGCTGCTGGGACAGAGGCTTTGAGGGGGCCTGCCCCACTGTTTATTCTCAGAGCTGGCAAATGGGGAGAGGTGGGTGATGTGGGTGATTTGCCATCAGAGGTCTTGGGTTTAGCTGATAGGTTCAGTGGCTGTGCCACTTCATCCTGCAATGATCATTAGAACATGAGCTGTGATAAGGAAAGGCTGATCAAAAATGCCTATAAAAACACAGGTATACAGCCTGACATTTTTCATCAAATTAGTCTACCAATCAGTGATCTTAACATTCAATTAGAACATTACAGTTTTTGGTTAGCTACCATCATAATGTCACTTTCAACTACATAATATAAAACACCTTTTTGGATATAATAAAATACATATGCACCCAACTACTCAGAAAAAACATAAGTGACATAACAAGTAATAGTCTTACAAAGCTATTCACTGTAGTGTTCATTTTTATTTAGAGACATGACATTGTTAATATAAAATAATGGTGTAGGAAGATTTTTTAACCTCCAAAGAACAGGGGTTGTGCCTCATCAACTTTGTACCCTTGAAAGGTTTACTTTGGAGTTTTAAAAACAATAGGGGCAAAATTATTCCTAGATCATCCCATTTGAAACATTTAGTTGACTTGGTCAGCTATAATCCTTACATACGATGCCTCAGTTGGCAGAAATCCAGAAGTATTATGTCTTTTTCTATATTCCAGCGGTTCTCAAAGTGTGGTCCTTGGACTAGTACCATCAGCAGCTTTTGGGAACTTGTGAGAAACGCAAATTCTACGTCCCAGCATCTCTGGAGGCAGGTCCCAGCAACCTGTGTTTTAACAAGCACTCCCAGGTGATTCTGATGCATGCTGAAGTTTGAGAATGGCTACCTTATATAATATAAAGGGAGACTATTACAAACCTTTCATTTATTAGGCATCAAAAACCCTTTAAAAAGCTTCCTCAATATAAGGAGTTAACAGCAGCCGAGCTCTTAACTACTGTGCCAGCAGGGCTCCAAATACTACCTCAACCTTTAAAACTTGATTGTGACATACTATAAACTATTAACAATTAATGAAAGCATGCAAATGCAAAATGAGCTAAATGCTACTGAGATTCAGTGGCACAATAAGGATTAGAATCCAGATCACCCTGTCAGTTCAGCCTAAAAATCCCAACTGTCAGACAGGGTCTTTATGGACTATTTACTATGCAGCTGTAATTATTTTTTCCCCCTAAAAAATGGTGTACCTGTTTACTCCCTTCTGCACAAAATTAAACTGGCCTCTGTCTGGACAGCCCTAGAAATTTCTTTGACCGCATCATAACTCTTGGAAAAGTTTTGAGGATACTAGAAAAATTAAAGGTAGCTGTGTCATGTGACTGTGCAGAAAAAAGGAAGGAATGCAGTCCCAGAGTTGGAGGAGAAGATATTAATAAGTACAGAAGAAAGAAGAGCATGAGTGTGTACATAGGGGGAGTTGTGGCTTGATGAAGGCGATGCTGATGTGGGTGTGGATGGGGTGAAATGTATGTCTTCGCTTTAAGGACTAAGAACTATTAGATGCACATGCTAAAAGGAGATGATTCAAAGCATTTATGTGAGCAAGAGACCCACTGGAACTCTTAATATTCTCCTCCATTCAAGGCAGCACAGTTGTCTGAAAGCCAAAAAGTGCAAGGCCCCAAGGACATAAGAGGCTGACAGTTCCAAAGTTGACATAAATGTCATTCAAAATTGCCCTTTCATTCTCTTTCATTATATGACCAGGCTAATGGTATATTAATAAGAACTCACATGCTTGATCCTTATACTGGTAACTGTATAAATAATTTTGACCTATTATATGATATTATTTCACAGTTTGGTTGTTTTAATAATTTACTACTGAGCTAGTACACCTAACGCCTATTATTCATAAAGGATATGAAAATTACACTGCTTTCCCAATTTCTATTAATTATTTTTCATTTGTCTAGATGAAAATTTAAAAACCTTAACTATAAAATGGAAGTAGACTATTTATGACATGCATTCTGATAATTATGAGTATGAGCAATAAAGGCTGAAGGTATGACTCTTTCTAGTTCATTATTTGCACTATTCAGGGGAAATTTCTTTGAAAGCTTAGCGTGACTCACCTCTATTCTACCAAATAAAATATACTTATTTAAATTTTAAATAAATAATTTACACATACAAGAATATAAGTAATTTTCAAGGTCAAGAAGGCGTTAGAAAGATAGCCCTTCTATCAATTAGATCATCAAGCAGTGAGGAAAGCAATTTCCTTTTAATTATTTGTCCAATTGTTAAATGATGTTGATAATTGAAACTTCTGGAAACAACATATTTTACAATTATTTCATTTATACACAAAGTAATAGTTAAGAAGACTCTTAAGTATCTCTTAGGTAGCTCCAAACTTGTACATGATAAATATAAGGTAAACATTTTAGCTTAAGTAAGCACATAAGCCAAGGTAAGAAAACTTTTACGAGTAGAAGGCAATTATTTACACCTGTAGAGTGTAAATAATCAAATGACGTACTGTATTGGGTAAATCTGCTGTGAAGACCTCTTTAAAGTGTTAAAAAGCAAAGACATCACTTTGAGGACTAACGTGCCCCTGACCCAAGTCATGGTATTTTCAACTGCCTCATATGCATGGGAAAGCTGGACAATGAATAAGGAAAACTGAAGAAGAATTGATGCCTTTGAATCACGGTGTTGGCAAAGAATATTGAATATACCATGGACTGCTAGAAAAATGAACATAACTGTCTTGGAACAAGTATAGCCAGAATGCTCCTAGAAACGAGGATGGTGAGACTTTGTCTCATGTACTTTGGACATGTTATAATGAGGGACCAGTCCCTGGACAAGGACATCATGCTTTGTAAAGTAGAGGATCAGTGAAAAAGAGGAAGACCCACAAGGAGATGGACTGACACAGTGGCAGCAACAATGGGCTCAAACATAGCAATGATTCTGAGCACGGTGCGGGAGCAGGCAGTGTTTTGTTCTGTCGTGAACAGGGTCACTATGAGTCAGAACTGACTCAATGGCACCTAACAACAACAACATACAGTGCATTATAAATATTTCAAATTATTTATTTAATCCTCAAGGCTGTAAATTAGTCGTTAATAACCTCATAGAGAAAACTAAAGCTCAGAAGTTTCTAGTCAAATGCCCAGAGAAGCTAGAACTTAAACCCAGGTCTTTGGACTCAACATACAATATTCTTTCCATATATATGACAAATTCAATCTTAAATTTAAGAAAGACACTTATGAAATATAATTTCTGAAATTCAGACCTAATCTAACAATAAAATTCTATCATATAAAAACTACATGAAGTTCAGTACATATGCAATAAAATAAATATACATGTTTGCTATTTTATACATGGTTAAAAAGTTAGGGCACACATTGTTGACTTATTTTGGAGATGTTTTTATGCTTCAGTGTTCTCTATACTGTATGACCCTGAAAATTTCCTTTGTTAATACTAAAGAGTTGTTTAATTAGACTTCTCTTCGAGAAAAATCTCAAGGGTTCATGTCTAATATGACAGAAAATACAATAGTTCATATAATAATGTACAAGAGAATATTTTGTACATCCAAATACAAGTTTTCAGAACACATTCATAATGACAACATCTGCAAATAAAGCATTGGATAGGCTGGAATGGAATGCAAAGCAAGTAAAATCTAAACATACTTATATAGTTCAGACATTCTCTATTTACTTATAACTACTAATGACTTGTTTGAAAGCAAACATCTCACGTAAGACCAGCTTGTGGTCATGGCAGTGGAAATATATTCAAGGCCCTAATTAATTCATATCCCAGCCAATGACAATCTCCCACACAGCTAAAAAAAAAATATAGATTAAAAAAAAGAATTGGAAAAAAATGTAGTCTTAGAGAAACTGAAGAAATACCTATTATCATGATGTCAGGGCTTACTTCACATAAATGTATCAAACACTGTACAAGAACTATATAAAGTTAAAATATATTTTACTTAGAAGGTTTTCAAATAATAAGATTATTTTGGAAAAACATGTTACTCTAACATATTTGTATAATATTCACAATTTTATAATGTGCAAATTATTTAGAAAAACCAAGTACAATTTATCAGAGAAAAAACATTCTCTGGAATTCACCATACTTTTTTCACTCTCCTCATTCCTTAGCCTGCCTTCATTTTTTTTGCTAAGGAAATTTAATAGACGACTAGAAAATAACAGGGCCCTGGTGGTGCAGTTGTTAAGCATTTGGCTGCTAACCAAAAGGTTGGCAGTTCAAATCCAGCAGGGACTTGTTGGAAACCCTGTGGGGCAATTCTATTCTGTCCTATAGGGTCACTGTGAGAAAATAATGGTGCCAGATTCATGGAGAAGCCTATTTGTTCCTTCCTATTTGTATCCTTCTCCTTCACAACATGGAAATATATCTGCAAGATACATCATTGAGGATGTGCAAATGATGATACCCTTCAAAAGAAATATTTCACCTTTAGCTACATCTTTATTCATTTTCTTTATTTAATTGATGACCTACTTCATGCCACATCACTGTTGTCTCAAAACTTCACTTCCTTAAATATCTACCTAAAGTAGTTATTAAAAATCAAAGACTTATTTGGTAGTTAACAAATTTATAGTATTCTAAAGCAAACAGACAAGCATTATACATTTATTCACTCATTTATTCATTATTTACTAACTAGCATTTTAACTATTCATTAATGGGTAAAATATACTAGCATTAGAGAAAATGTAAATCAACTAGGCATCTAGTTTTGAGACTTTGATTTGGTGTGGTCAGCAATAATGAGGAAAAGGAATGCATTTATTTTTTATTTAAAGCCTAGGTTTAGATATGTACAAAACTGTGTTTCCTTTAAACTGAATTCTTTGAGGACAGTTTATCTATGCATTTAATATATTGCTTCATTTATAAATACACTTTGATTCTTTAATAGCCATGTAGTGATTGAACAATAATTTATGTATTATTTATATAAATGTATATATATTTTATGTTATACATGCGTGTATGTATGTATTAGTATCTGTATATGGAACCCTGGGAGCCCTGAAGGCACAGTGGTTAAGAGCTCGCCTACTAACCAAAAGGTTGG